GTGAAAATGTTAGAGGCTGACATGGCAATTTGGGAGGCTTGAGGAACAAGAGATAGGTAGCGCAGCATAGCGATAGAACGAAGCAACTAGCATAGCAATGATAGTAATGAGATCCAAGGTGACGGTCATCTTGCCTGAAATCCCGCTAGGAAGAAGAACGAGTCCATGAAGAAGACGAATGGATGAAGCCGAACCAAGTGTAGTTGAACGAATCCTCACGATCGCAATGAAACATGAACTATCGAGAAGAAGCACAACCGAAAAGAAGCAAACAACATAGTAAACACACAAGCATAAACATGACATGATGCACAAACAAGTATGATGCATGTCCAGTTTAATGAGGCATGGCATGACAAAGTGCAACAAACAATACTACAAGAAGTGGAGCTCAATATGCAACGAGTTGCATATTGACAAAACACCACATTGACATATTTAGTTTAATCTCGGTTATGAACAAGACAAGATTAAATGTTGGTTAACATGGCAAAAGGTGAAACATAAGTAAACTAACTATTTAGGAAAGTTTAAATGAGGCCGGAAATAACAAACAATAAATTCCGGAAAATCCCCATATGCATATTTCGAATTTGGTACTGTTCTGCCCTAAAATATATTTTATTGTTGTTAAACAGGAAAATAAAGTGCACCATGTTAAACTAGGCATTTTTCCACCCCATTTACATATAAAGTTTATTTAAAATGGGGCTACGGTTATTTAGTTATGAAATAAAATATTTTAGCATGGCATTTAAGCAAATTTAAACAAGCAGCATTTTAAACATTTTAAACATGGATGAGAGTTGTATATTATGAAACTAGATGAAAAACTAAGCACTTTTCATATATAAATTATTTACATATGATGCACGGTTGATTAGTTATTAAATGCATGAACAGCAAGGGTTTTTCTGCAAATCTGTAATTCAGTGGATAAAAGGAAATTCGCAGGTCAGGGGAAAAAATACTATCGGCCCGAAACTGGCTAGCCTAACAGGAGCAAACAGAGGGCGGCGGCTGCTCACCAGGCCTCACGAGCCGGCTGGTGGAGAGGGAGGCCTACAGGGGGCACGCTGGGCCCGGCGAAGAGGCGGTTTGGCAGGCCCGCACGAGCACTCGAGCGGGGCGCGGTCAACGCAAGAGGGCGGCTTCGTCGTCGTCTCGTTCGTTCGACAGGGAAAACAGCGACAGCAGCAGGTAAAGCAGGGGAGCGGCGGCGGTGCGCGAGCCGGCAAGGAACTCCGACGACGGGTGGCTGATGGCGACGCGAGCGTCGGGAATGGGCAGATCCAGGTGAGGGGGTCTCGGATCCGGCGGCACAAGGGAGCTCGGTGGCGTTGAGGAACTGCAGGGCCATGGCAAGGAAAAATCATACAAGTGGCAGGGACAGAGAGAGGGCCGGAGTGAGAGCGAGAGGAGGCGAGGCGGCCTGGCCGTGGCCGGTTGGCGGCGGGCACGGGCGCCCGAGGAGGTCATGCGGGATGACGGACTGATGCAAAGCAGCGGCAGAGACTTCGCGAAAGGCGCAACGAGGGACTTGGCGCGGCTGGCCGCGGGATGCAGGGCACGGCGACGCGGGGACAACCGGATCCAAGGCGAGGAAGGCGCGAAGCCAGACGGATTCGGGCGTGGGATGCTGATTCCTCGCCGGAGGACGTCCAACGGCAGCGGCTAGCTCTTGTGGGTCTCCATGGAGAAGAGCAAGTGAGAGAGGGAACCAGATGGAACAGGAGAAGGAGAAGCAACGAGGGGTGCGGGGTCCGATTGTTGAGTGTAATAAGATGGCGGCGCGCTGCACATGCCCGGTGCGTGTATGGGCGCGCACCAGGCGTGTGTGGTGCGTCGGGACCGTGGGACGTGTGTGCGTGCGTGTGTGCATGCGTGACTGGGCAGATGCAGTAGCCAGGCTAGCTGGGACGCGGTGATAGCGCATGTTCGTTGAGGGCTCAGCGGAGGAAGCGCGAGAGCGCGTCGTGCGTGCGCCGAGCGGGCCGAACTGGGTGGCATAGTGGTCAAGCCGTGAGCTAGTCGTGGGGTGGGTCACCCGGGTATAAAGGGGCATCGTTGTGTTGGCTGTAACGGTGCTAGGGTGTGCGTTTGAGTTTGTGCTCAATATACACAGGCGTTCGAGCGCCAAGAGAAAACTACCTCGCCAAGTCTCTGATTGTCTTCCTCCTCGTCTCCTTCTCGTTTTGGTTCGAGCCACTGCACCAGGAGGGAGAGAGTTGACACCGGGAGAGACTGGGAGGAGTACGTGTCGGTGCAGCAGCAAGGTGTTCGATCACCGGTGGAGCTCGATCGCTGCGTTCCTCGAGCTCGGACCTTGTCTAAGGTGATCACCGAAGGGACATGGTTCCATTTTTGCCCTGACATTTGGTATCAGAGCCTCGTGTGACCGGGGAGCTCGACGACCATGGCGCTGGTCCCGTACTCCGGCGGGTCGGGGACGACGATGTTGACGTTGGTCCCGATGCTAACGGGGGACAACTACACCACCTGGGCCATCAAAGTGGAGGCGGATCGACGCTGCAGGGCTCTGGAGGCGGTGGCTCCGGCGGAGGACTCGGCGGCGGCGGTGATCGCGAAGAATGACAAACCGGCGTGCGCCTATCTGCTACGAGCGCTCGCCGATGATCTGTTGCTGCAGGTCGCGTCGAAGAAGACGTCGGCGGAGATTTGGGCGAGCTTGCGGGCTAGGTTCGTGGGCGCGGACCGTGTGCGTGCGGCGAGGCTCGACACGCTTTGGGGGGAGTTCGAGATCTTGCGCATGGCGGAGTCCGAAACCCTGGATGCGTTCGCCGGCAGGCTTGGTGGCATGGCGGCGCGGTACGCGGCGCTGGGCTCAACCCTGGAAGACTCCGCGCTCGTCAAGGAGCTGCTCGACTCGGTGCCGGACCGCCTATACGCGGAGGTGGTAGGGATCAAGCAGTTTTGCGACGTGTCGGAGATGCTTTTTGAGGACGCGCTAGGTCGCCTCAAGGCATTTGACGAGAGGCTGCAGAGGCGTGGGCAAGATGGCGGCGATCGTGGCGGCGACCAGCTGTTGCTGACCATGGCACAGTGGCGTGCGCGCGAGCAGCGTCGGGGCGGTGCGCATGGAGATGACGACGGCAACGGGGCGCGCAGCAAGGCGTCGGGCTTCGGCGGGAAATAGCGCGGCCGCTGCTACAAGTGCAGTGAACGTGAGCACTTCAAGCGCGAGTGCCCGTAGTGGAAGAAGGCGCCGGTGGCGGAGCATGCACTGCAAGTCGACGACGACGTCGAGGATGCCGGCCTGCTCTGAGCCGCGTCTTAGGGCGAGATTGTTGAGTGTAATAAGACGGCGGCGCGCTGCACATGCCCGGTGCGTGTATGGGCGCGCACCAGGCATGTGTGGTGCGTCGGGACCATGGGACGTGTGTGCGTGCGTGACTGGGCAGATGCAGTAGCCAGGCTAGCTGGGACGCGGTAATAGCGCATGTTCGTTGAGGGCTCGGCGGAGGAAGCGCGAGAGCGCGTCGTGCGCGCGCCGAGCGGGCCAAACTGGGTGGCGTAGTGGTCAAGCCGTGAGCTAGTCGTGGGGTGGGTCACCCGGGTTAAAAGGGGCATCGTTGTGTTGGCTGTAACGGTGCTGGGGTGTGCGTTTGAGTTCGTGCTCAATATACACAGGAATTCGAGCGCCGGGAGAAAACTACCTCGCCAAGTCTCTGATTGTCTTCCTCCTCGTCTCCTTCTCGTTTTGGTTCGAGTCACTGCACCAGGAGAGAGAGAGTTGACACCGGGAGAGACTGGGAGGAGTACGCGCTGGTGCAGCAACAAGGTGTTCGATCACTGGTGGAGCTCAGTCGTTGTGTTCCTCGAGCTCGGACCTTGTCTAAGGTGATCACCGGAGGGACAGGGCTCCATTTTTGCCCTGACACCGGCCTGATGGAGGTGGTCGCCAACGGTGACGCGGGTGCAGCTCCGGCGAGGTTGCTGCAGGGCCGGAGGAGCTGAGGAGGCCGGTGCCTCGCGAGCTGCTCGGGGGTGAGGAGGTGGGCGCTGGAAGATGCGATTGCATGGATGGATCGATGGAATTCGGTGGGGATTGGCTGGTGTTGAAATCCAGGGAGACCAGGTGGCTGCAGGATGGATCCCGAGAGAGTGGCGGCAGGGACGAGGGTTGGATGGGACACATGTCCTTAATTTTAGGGTTTGTCTAGATTTAGACTAGGAGTCCCTTATTTAAAACAAAAAAGAGGCTAGCCAACTCACCTTCAGGAGGCTCCCCGATTGGAGCTTCGTCGGCCGTCGGATCTGCCTTTCTGGCGCGCCTAAGCCGTTGGATTTTCACTTGCGGTTAAATTATTTTCACCCCACGGTTCATTTTTCTGCCCAATGACTGGTGGGCTCGTCTCGTGTCTGTATTGGCTGGGTAAGCGGCGTCCGGGTGAGAGAGAATTTGTCCCATCCGCGCGCCGCGCCCGCACCCAACGCAACCCAATCCCCTCGTCCCGCACGCCGTGCACACTCCGGTCCCCTCATCCCGCACGAACCCTAGGAGAGAGAGATATGAAGATGAGAGGGAGAGAAAGGGGAGAGGAGAGGAGAGGGAGGTCCGGCATCGGACGAGAGAGGGTGACCGGCCGGCGTCGGCCTACACCGGCGAGGCGTCGGCCTGCGCCCCTCCTCGCGCACGAACCCTAGCTTGAGAGACAAAATGAGGGGGAGAGAGAGAAGGGAGGAGAGAAGGTAGAAAAAGAGAGGAAAGAGGAAAGGGAGGTGTGGCGGCTGACAGGAGAGAGGGTCATCGGCCGGCGCCGGAGAGGACGGGCCCGACCTGGACGCGACTTGTTTCCCTAAGTCATGCCTTTTGTGTCGCTGTCTGATTTCAATCGATTCGTCTCCTTCCTCATGCCTCGGAGCACGCTGTAGCCTGCAGGCGGAGTGGCAGCTAGGGTTGAGGCGGAGGGTGGAGCTCCGCCAAACATCCGACCCCCTCGCACGCGACACAACCAAACCATAACCGCCTGATCCCAATGCGCAGGTGAGCCGCCTGCTTCCGGCGGCGATCCGCCCCCAATTCCTTTCCCGTGTTTTTCCCCGATTGTGCTCTACTTCCTGCTGCTGATTTGATTGGCTCGCAGGGGCCTCGGCAGCGAGGCGTTGGTGCGCCGGCACCGCGCATGGGTGCAGTTGTGGGTCGCGGTCACGGCGCTGGTTACCGGCACCATCTGGCTCTGGTCCTCTTCCTCTGTTGTCCTCTTCGGCACCCACAAGGTCCAGGTGATTTAGTTGTGTGATGTTTGTTCTGCTTGGCGTTTTAGGGAAGGCCGATAGCAATGCCATGAGAGTTAAAGTGAAGGCTGAGATGCTATGGCTATGCAGGTGCCGGTGCTATATAACCAAGGCACTTCATAGAGCAAATCTCTAATGCAACTTTTAAAACAAATTAATTTAGCATATATGCCGGCCTGAGCGTAAATGATGTTATTGTTTGAAACGGATGGAAAAAATTGCCAAGTATAATAATATTTAACAAATACAGACTCCTTGGTAAAGAGGTCGTAAGCAAGATGGTAAACTGTATCCAATGCAGAACCACCTAATATGGGTACAGAGTATTACTACCAATAGGCTTATTACCTGCAGACTGTGGCAAGTTGCGATAGTTCTTTCCAAAATTGTGTAAGATCCAACTTCTCCATAACTATTAGTTTGCTTAATCCGCACCCAAGGATGTAACTTAATGTTCCTATGGAAATTTGAGAAATGTAAACAATCAGTTATATAGTACTCACTTCGTATCACAATATAAGACGTTTTTGCAAGCAAAGACAGCTTGCAGAAACATCTTATATTGTGGGAGGGAGTAGGCCTATAAACATTGAAATCATGATGGCTGCCAGATTATGACATAAATATAAGGACATTTATAAAATTGACAGCTCACACATGATGTTTCATAACCTCAAGTTTTGCCAGCTGTGGGCTGTTAGGGAAGTGATGCATCACCACTACTTATTAATCCTAATGAAAAAGACTAGAGTAAGAAAATTGATAAATAAATATTAAAATTAAGCCAGCACAAAGTATGGTCCTATCCATCATGTTCTGGCACATAATATTTGATGGATAAGGATAATGTTACTCCGAAAAAGAAATGCACCAATTTTCTTAGATAATTTTTTGGTGCATCACTTATATTTTCAGTTTCAATTCATTTGACCCATAGATTGGTTTATGCTAAATGTATGGAATTGAATTGGATATACAATGGTCATTTAATTTTTTACCAAATTATATCTTGTACTGACATCAGTGCTACTACTCAAGGATTTTGTTGTAGATGAGTTGTGGAGAACTGTAGATTCAAATGGTTGGAGAGCATCTTCTGCACCACGCACCTATTGGCCTCGTGAGTTCTTCTCTGTATCCTCCCAGAACCAGAAGTTACTGGTCCAGTCTTATGCCATTCTGTGTGATGGCAAAATGAAATTCTAAAATGCAATTTCTCTACTTGCAGCCCCACCAACTGAATCTGGGAGCAATGGGTATTTGCGTGTCCGGTGTAATGGTGGCTTGTCCCAACAACGAAGTGCAGTATGATTAACATATGAAACTTTGTCTCTAAAGTAGCATAGTTCATCATGCAAGTTTTATGTGTTCATGGCAACATAGCTGAGAGATTTAAGGTTACTGCTGCTTTGCTTTTGCAGATATGTAATGTTGGCGCTCTACCCATGGATTCCGGCATTAGCTTGAAACGCTCAGGTGGGCAATTAGAAACCCTTCTATCTATATATTTTAGGACAACTAATGGATAAATCTTGATTTGAATTGTTAGTTGCAAATTTGTTCTTTTGCTCATGATGTGATTTCTTTTGCTAGGACAAATTGGGTCTCGGCCAATGGTGGAGAAGACGGAGTACAGGGATGAGCCGCTCGAGCACGGTTTGATGGGATGTTCGTGTGCAAGATGCAGAAGTTCGCCAGAAGGAAGAAGAGTTGGGCGTCGAGGAGGAGAAGAAGGTGGTATGCGAGGTGCTTGCAGGCCCAGCAGCAGGAGGCCGTCCTTGAGGTGCTCCTATGGATGGTCCATTCCAGCGCTGGGCCTACGTGTTCAATGCTGGCCTCACCATCCCCTTCTTCCATTGGCTCATCGGCCCGTCAGAGTTTAGAGATCTAATACTCCGCACTGCCTCCCATCCATTTTTAGATATATATATTTATATAAGGTTTATCATCACCCCATGGATCATGTGTTGTTGATCGACCAGGTTATTGAGGTGGAGGTCAACGGGGTGAGGCAGAGAAGTGGAGTGCTCATAAAGAAACGAAGGTATGTATGAATATGATGGATGCTTCCATTGCCAACTAATGAAATGCATGTCTCATGCTCGCGCAGCTGCTGCCTGGACTCGCCACTGCCACCGCCTCCAGTCGCTTCCGCCTAGGCATCCCGTCGCTAGCAAGGTAATTTTGTTCCGGTCCCAGTTGTCCTCCTATCCTCCGTGCTTGATTGCTACAGGTTCTTGTTGTGTGTGTGCTTGCTGACTTAGTGTTGTGTGTGTCCGGGCACCCATTGTATTTTTTTGCTGGCTTGCTGTTGCGTGCATGATTGTTGTGGCTGGCTTGGTGGTAGCATCATATATACTTGGTCGTAGCGCTCGCTTGCTAGCTACAAGTTCTTGTTGTGTGTTTGGTTACTACTGGCTTAGTTATGTGTATGTGTCTGGGCACCTGTTGTGTTATTTTGCTGGCTTGCTGCTGCGTGCATGATTGTTGTGACTGGGCTCTGGTTGTTCGGTGTTGGGCTCTTGATGGCATGCGACCTGCTTCAAAAAAAGGAAAGAAAGCAAGCATTTGTTTATAGAACAAAATATTGAAAAACATTCCATGGAAAGCGTGCATATTTAGCAAGGAAAAGGAGTCTAGAGAGCCTTAGATTCTTGTTATGTGTTGATTTACAAAATTTCTGCAGCTATATATTTGCTCAATCCAAAAGACATATTTTACTCAACCTTCAGTATAATGTATTTCTAATTGTTCATAACTCCTGAAATTTTTGTTATGATTTTGCAAGATTTCAAAATTATTGTATTTCAAAATTGTTATATTGATTCCTCGATGCTCTGTTCATGGCTTTGTTCTTATTTTATCCTTCTCTATTTGCTTGTTTTCTTTCCTACAAGAAGATGTCGAGTCATGTAATATGTTCAAAGAAGAGAGAACCTGCATTTTATGAATGCTTTCTTCTTTCTTCATTGTTACTTTAAGTTAGTGAATTCAGTTAAGTTGTATTGAGCAGCTTCATACGCATGGTTTCTCCATCTACACATCTTGCTCAGTCACGAGGCCATTAAGATCTTTTGCCTTCTATAAAAAGGGAGATGCCATTTAGACCTTACTCTGTCCAACTTGATCTTTAAATTTTTCTTAGGAAAGGCCATCATGGCTAGCTTTATTGAATTAAAACATGCTTACATCATCCAACTTGATCTTTAACTTGCTACTACTGTTTCTAAGCATTTTCCCAAGCATTGTTTTATTTGCTTAAGAGAATGAGCTCATCTTATTCAGTGGGTGTGCCAAGTAAAAAAAAATAGAAACTCAGCAATTAGTTCCACTCTTAAATTTTGTACAGCAGTCCAAATTATCCAATAAATCATTTGTTAGCAGGGTCAAATTATAGAAGTTGAATCAGTTGTTCCAAATTACCCAGCGAGACTTATTCCATTTGTTTATCCTTTTGGCCTTTTAATCAAGAACAACATTCAGAGCTTACATGGTTGTCGAAATTTAGTTCTGTAAAAGAGGAATATTGATATAATGCAATGATCAGTGCAGATTAGGATAGTTATAGAGTTCTTCCTCAGTTTTCACTGAGCAAAGATTGAATCTGTGTGATTTGTTCTAATACCAAGTAAATCTTGGTCTGCATTTGTTACACATGTTTTGGTCCTCGAAAACAGTATTAACCCATAATGTAAATAACTCTGATGTATGATGATTTTCAGTGAGATATCCTTTTATCTCCAGGCATTTCTTTCATATAGTGGATATACAAAATAAACTGTATGATCTGGACTGTAGGAGCAACTGTTGCTATTGGGACTGGTGCTTGTGTAGTTGTTGCAGCTGTTCTTGAGGGCTGAGCTGAACATATTTGAAAAAGGTTTGTGCTTTATCTTTTTTTTCGACGACAAAATAACTTCTCGTTTCGAAATATTTAGTGCGTCGTCATGGCCTTTCTTAAGGGTGTTCAGGCATTTTTTTCTCCTTCTGTAAATTAGTGGTCTTTTATTCGTGTTGCAAACCCCAATATGGCATCTCGCCATTTCCCATGATCCACATGTTAACTATGGATTTATTTAATGATAATATGATATCAACTGCATTTTCTTCAGGATATTCTGACGCCTAATAAGGATCAAGAAAACAACAGAGATGCTAAGAGGCAACCTTTTGGGGTTAAGGATATAAACAACAACAGGGCTTATGAGACCGAAGAGAGCTCAAGTGGTGTCTTTTGATTCTTGAAGGCCTGCACTTTCCTGGTGGAGTAGCAACAAAATAATTCAGAGGCTTTAAAGCTAATGCACTTCACGTAGTTAGGATCAATTCTTTGTTTCGGTTTGAAATACTTCCCAGTTCCTCCTATTTGATTGATTCATCTAATTGACATTTTGTCAGGCAAATATTAGGCAAAGGATATGTACCTTTTTTTAATATAGAAGGGTCTAATTCTTATCGTGTGTACTTGCTCAAACAAAAGATTATTGAAAATATGTATATTTTCAACTCGATGTGGTTTTGAATTAGACTCCACGCTACCAAAGTAAAATGTGCATGTACATCTTATTGTAGACAACAAACCTATATTTTTTAATTGAAGGGGATTAAATTTGTTACCGATTTTTATCGAGAGAGACAACATTTCAAAACACTTCTATCTTCATTTTTCATACCAACGAATAATTTTTTTTGTTTCGGCTTTCACTCTATGCTATTAAAATAAATCAACTATTCTAAGATAAACTGACTATATTATATCTTTTTTCCTTAGGTTTCTTATCTTTTCCTCTCTTTTTTTCAAAAAATATATGCATGCCCAAGTTTTTCATCATGATAACCATGTTTTCAAACTTGCTAAGAAAATACAACCATGCCAACTTTGCTTTCTCATCATACTGCATGTTTTCAAACTTGCTAAAAAATACAGCCAAGCCAGCTTTACTCTCTCATCATCCCAAGAAATATATGCATGCACAAATTTATCATCATGATAACCATCATTTCAAACTTGCTAAAAAAATACAACCATGCCAACTTTACTACCTCATCATAGTGGCCATTTTTTCAGATTGAACATATTCATATTATGCAAAATTTCCCTTTTCCCAGACTATTATTAAACAACACAATTAACATGTTTACAAAATACCATGGTTTAGTTCAATGTTCTTGCAGCATGAAACTATTTTCATCGACAACATGTCTTCAGCGGGTCTCTGCGCCATTTGGCGCAACGGGTCAACTAGTATAAGGAAAGAGGGGGAGTTTAGGGTAGATTCGGACCCTCCGATCGAAATCGGGCGGTTGAGAAAAATAGACTAGGTGAGTACAATAAATAAAAGATGATATTTAGGGAATGTTTGAGGATGATCCGGACCTGATGGTCATGACCGTGCGGGTCGGGTTCGGGACAACTTTCGGGTGCGCGCGAGGGGTTTGTGCACTATGCAGAGAGGCTAGGCGGTCAGACAAGAGGGACTCGAAAACCCCGATTGGTCTCGAAACAGACAACGAAGGCAAGGGGGGACGCGGCAACTACGAACGTATGCAAGCTTTATGAAAACATGTGGATGCAATGCACATGATGCCATGAGATGAAATGCATGACATGAACAAAATGCAAAATGAAAGACAAAAACCCAGCCACGGAGGAAATAACATATCACATAGCCGGAAATGGCAAGAGTTGGAGTTAAAATTATGGAAAGTTGTATCCGGGGTGTTACACCCCTCCTCAGCTCTTGCGCACTTGGTCGCCAGGTTGAACAACTCCAGAGATGTGCACAGATCCTCGTGGATGGCAAGCTCCTCCTTCATCTTGATGTCACAGACGCCGTAAGAGAACGTTGAGATGATGGCATCCTCAGTCACCTTGGGGATCTTAAGGCGAGCGCTATTGAAACGTTGGATGTACTTCTGTAGGGTCTCTCCAAGCTGCTGCATGATGCGGTGTAGGTCACCCACGACCGGAGGACGGTCGCGAGTGCCCTGGAAGTTGGCGATGAAACGGCTGCCCATCTCGTCCCAAGAGGAGATCGAGCCGGGAGGCAGGTTCAGGAGCCAGGTGCGAGCACCACCCTTGAGCGCCATGGGAAACCAGTTCACCATGACCTTTTCGTCTCCGTTGGCCGCCTCGATGCCCAGCTCGTAGAGCTGCAAGAACTCCGCGGGGTCGGCAGTGCCATCGTAGCGAGGAGGCAGATCTGGCTTGAACTTGCCCAGCCAGGCGACGCTCGGTGGTGAAGGCATGGCAGCCTGCTGTCGCCATCGGAGCTTTTTGCAGATGCGGGGCCTGCTCTTGATGGTTCCCGCGCGCTGCTGCCAGGGGCAGCACGGGGTCTTGGCGTGCTGGTGCAGGGATGCGGTCTTGACATGCTGGAGCAGGGGGCATGCGAGCGCCTTCTTGGGGCCGAAGGATTTCTTTGCAGCTCCTTTTTTGTCGCGCGGGCGCTGGACACGGTGGGTCTCGTCCATGGGCCGCGCGCCTTGGGGCCAGGGTGCCTTCTTGGGGAGGAGGTGGCGGAGGCACCTCCTGAGCTGCATCGACCATGCAGGACGACGGGCGAGGCAGTGAGAGGGATGGCACAGGGGAGCCCCCTGCGACGCTGACGAGCTCGATGATGCGAGCGAGCCACTCATCATAGAGGTCGTCGACGGGGCGG